AACAAAAGAGTAGTTGAAACAAACTCATTAGGCAAGATCATCACAAGTAGAGAAGTGAAGGTTTGCAAGTTCTAAACACATGACATTCCAGGGGGAAAAGTGGACATAGCCCTGGTCTTGGGACATATTTTCCTGAGAATCAGCCATTTCTTCCTGTTCCTTTTCTGGGATTCTTTCTCAGGTGAGATTATCTGGAAAAATTACAACTGCATCTTCATAGTATGCCCTTAAAGGCATCAGCACAGCCCCTTCACCTGCTACCACCACACCCACAGGTAGAATGACCTCGACGTGCAGAAAACAATCCATGCTTTCCTGTCCTTCATCACAGGAGAGAGTCAAGAACAAGGAGTTTCTATGTGGAGACCAGAGTTTAATTTCTCCCCTGTCCTGCCCTCAGGTGCCCTCCCCGCTGCCACATACACTAGCAGTTTCTGCTACAGCAATGGGAATATGGGCTGGGCTGGGCTGCCCTGCCTCCAGCAGACCTATGCAGAGCAGATCTTGCGAGCTCCCTCTGGACAAACGCTGAACTCAACTTTCATGAATCTATCTGGAAGCCCCTGTGCTTGACCCTGGCCTCACCTTAGCATTACGTGGGGCACTTAATTAAAACCACACGGATGCTCCCCCCAGACCAAAAGACAGCATAATCTGTGGGAAGGGCACAGGTGATGGTGTTTTTTCAAACTGGTCATGTGATCCTAATTGGAAGCCTGGGCTGAGAACCACTTGGCTACGCATTGCCTCTCAGGCTTTAATGTGCATAGAAATCCTTTGGTATTTTGGACCACACTAAGTAATATGATTCTGTAAGAGCAACAGTCACTTCATCTTGAATCAAATAATCACTATTTCTGTTACAATACTGAATTGTGTGCTTGCTTCAGAATTTCAGTAACTAGCCTTGAGCAGTTAACTATAGAACCAAGATTGTGGAATTCCCCCTGGAGGAAAATGCTGAGCAGTTAACCTTCAATTCTGTTTTCATCTAGCTAATGTCAGCCAGACCATCAGATGGCCCACTGCTCAAGATAACCACTGGAACAAGACATGGTGGCCTGCACACAGCCAGCTCCTGCATAGTTTCCCAAGCCCCTTTCCCCTTTCAACCCCTTCGTCAGCTTGAGGAATCTGAGACAGTCTTTGAAACGTTAGTCTACCATCACCTCAGGTTGCTGGCTCTTGAATAAACTGCTTTTCCTTCCACCAACTGCTGTCTTTTACATTCGGCTTTTGAGCGGAGAGTAGGAGAACCTGAGTTCTGTTATAATTCTACAGGATTGGAGGAAGTCTGTAAGTTGGCTGCTGTAACAAGTCCCCTGTTAGCGCTGCTGTTGCTGCCCCTAGACCCATTATAGAAGTACTCAGCTAGAGAAATCAGGCACAGAACAGAGTCCCTTAAACCCAACACTTTTTTTTAACAACACAAATACTTTTGGTCCAAAGGGAAGGCCACCAATCACCATCCTGAAACACACCATTTTCTGCAGACCCTTTAAAGTTTACAGAGGCTAGAAAAGGCAGCAGTGTCTAACTCAGTCTGCATTTGTAGTCATTAAAGCAATGTTTACTCAGCATGCACTATGTTCTTAGAAATACATTAACAGAGCACTGTGCTGAGAACATCAAATTATATTAGCTCACCCTCATGACATCCTGGGAGTTGGGTACTGTTTCATAATTCTAAGGATTGAGATAAAGGGCATAGGCTTTCCATTTCTCTACCATTAATTTTTTTAAAAATAAAATGTGTGGAATTTGGGGGGGGCAAGGGCAACATACGTGACCTAAACATCTGTACCCCCATAATATGCTGAAATTTGAATGAGAAAAAAAGTAATTAAGGTATCAAAATA